CGCATAATGGACCACAGAAACACATTTTTCTGGAAAATATAATTTCTTAACTTTTTAATGCACAGGTCAATCCAAAGGGTCTGAATACAAATTCTAACACATATTCCTAATTTGGCACTACGAGCTTTAGATTTTTTTTAGTAGAATTATTTTTTTCACGGGGCCTTACATCCTCCCCAACTTAAGATCGTTCGTCCTAGAATAAGGATCAAGTTTCATTCATTAGCAATGTTTATGCAACCTCAGCTTTTCACAACATGAAACATATCAACAGCCCCAAATTTGGCTAACTCCCTAAATTTTCAAAAATTTCGCCAGAGTTTCCTTTGTATCTAGGCCTATCCACCTGTCAGAAAGCCCCAGAAACATATCCTAACAACATATACACATTCCATAGACATAATATAACTTGTACAACACTAACGATGGCCACGTAGGCAACATATAACCAAAACGGGATAGTTTTACATTGATTAAATCATAGGAACCAAATACATAAAAGCTATTACATGACTATTCAAACAAATGTGGGTATTTCTTTCTCATTTCTTCCTCGGCTTCCGAAGTGGCTTCCTCAACCTGCTGGTTTTTCCATAATACTTTTACAGAGCAATTTCCTTATTTCTCAATCTCCGGACTTGCCTGTCAAGAATGGCAACTGGAACTTCTTCATACGACAGTTCTTCATTAACCTCAATATTTTCAACTGGCACAATAGTGGACGGGTCTCCTACTACCTTCTTCAACATAGACACATGGACGATTGGGTGTACCAATGACATTTCAAGTCGCAACTCGAGATTGTATGCCACCTGACCAATCCTCTAAATGATTTTGTACGGTCTGACATACCTCGGACTCAATTTTCCTTTCTTTCCAAGCCGCATGATACCCTTCATGGGGAAAACCTTCAAAAATACCCAATCATTTTCTTTGAATTCCAATTCTCTGTGATGAATGTCCGAATACAACTTTTGGCGACTCTGAGTAGTTTTCAACCTTTCCTTGATAATCTTGACTTTCTCCATAGCCTGATGCACAAGGTCTGGCCCTATTAATTCAGCTTCTCCAACTTCGAACCACCCAATGTGAGATCTACATCTCCTACCATACAATGCTTCAAACGGTGCCATTTGGATACTAGTATGGAAGCTATTGTTATAAGCAAATTCTATGAGTGGCAAATAATCATCCCAGCTCCCTTTGAAATCAAGAGTACAAGCACGCAACATGTCCTCAAGCGTCTGAATAGTCTGCTCTTCTTGCCCATCGGTTTGAGGATGAAAAGTTGTGCTAAGATTTACCTGCGTGCCTAAACCTTGCTGAAATTTCTTTCAAACGTTGGTTGTGAACTGAGCCCCTTGATCTGAAATGATTGAGACTAGAGTGTCATGCAACCTGACTATTTCTTTGATATACAACTGAGCATACTATTCCGATGTGTCAGTAGATTTAACTGGTAAGAAGTGCGCTAATTTCGTGAGTCGATCAACGATCACCCAAATTGAGTCGAACTTGAGCGGAGCGCGCGGTAATCCTACCACAAAATCCATGTTGATAATCACCCATTTCCACATTAGAATTTCGATGCTTTAAGCCAACCTACCGGGCCTCTGATGTTTGGACATTTTGCCACAAAGTCTGCCACATCCTTTTTCATGTTGTTCCGCCAATAAACTTCCTTGAGATCATGATACATTTTTGTAGAACCGGGGTGCACGGAATACCTAGAAGTGTGAGCTTCTGCTATGATCCTTTCCCGAAGACCGTCAATATCCGGAACACATAGGCGGCCTTGGTAGGGTACCATTATCCATGCCAAAGGAAAAAGCTGTGGTCTTGTACTTATGAATCCCATCTTTTAGTTGTGCTAACAATGGGTTGTTGAATTGCTTCTCTTTTACTTCAGCCACAAGCGATGATTCAGCCCTATTCTGCATAATCACTCCCCGTTCATTAGAGTACGCAAGGCGAACTCCCAAACTAGCCAACTGGTGAACCTCCTTGGCCAACGGCCTTTGGTATGCCCCCAAATGAGCCACACTTCCCATAGATTTTCGACTAAGAGCATCCACCACAACATTAGCCTTTCTCGGGTGATAGAGAATATCAATGTCATAGTCCTTGAGTAACTCTAGCCATCTTCTCTGTCTCAGATTCAGCTCCTTCTACTTGAAAATATATTGAAGGCTCTTGTGGTCCGTAAATACATCCACATGGACCCCATACAAATAATGTCGCCAAATCTTTAGCGCAAACACCACTACTGCAAGCTCTAAGTCATGGGTTGGATAATTCTTTTCATGATTCTTGAGTTGCCTAGAAGTGTAGGTTATAACCTTGCCATGTTGCATTAACACACACCTAAGTCCAATCATTGAAGCATCACAATACACCACAAATCCCTCTGTACCCTCTGGCATGGCTAATACTGGTGTTGTAGTCAATCTTGATTTCAATTATTGGAAATTTCTTTCACAAGCATCAGACCATTGGAATTTAACTACTTTCTGCATCAATTTAGTCAATAGAGAGGCAAAAGTAGAAAACCCCTCCACAAATCTCCTGTAGTACCCAGCCAAACCTAAGAAACTGCAAATCTCTATTGGAGTGGTAGGTCTAGGCCAATTCTTCACTGCTACAATCTTTTGAGGATCAACCATAAATTCTTCCTTGGAGACTACATGACCCAAGAACACGACAGATTCAAGCCAAAATTCACATTTTGAAAATTTTGCATACAATTGATGTTGCTGAAGAGTATGCAGAACTGCCCTAAGATGGTCAGCATGGTCCTTTTGACTTCGGCAATACACAAGAATATCGTCAATGAACATTATCACAAAGAAGTCTAGAAAAGGCTTGAAGACTCGATTCATAAGATCCATGAAAGCTGTTGGGGCATTTGTTAGCCCAAAAGACATCACCAGAAATTCAAAGTGCCCATAACGAGTCCTGAAAGCTATTTTTGGAATATCCTGCACCATTATCTTCAATTGGTGATACCCGGACTGCAAGTCAATTTTTGAGAAACACGTAGCACCTTGCAACTGATCAAACAAGTCATCTATTATTGGTAGAGGATGCTTATTTTTTATTGTGAACTTGTTGAGTTGCCGGTAATCAATACACATTTGTAGGCACCCATCTTTCTTCCTTACAAACAAGATCGGTGCACCCCACGGTGACACACTCGGTCGGATGAAACCCTTCTCTAGTAAATCCTTCAATTGTTCCTTTAGCTCTTTCAATTCTGTCGGTGCCATTCTGTAAGGTGGAATTGATATAGGTTGCGTGCCTAGCATCACATCGATCCCAAAATCAATCTCCCTATCTGGTGGAATTCCAGGGAGCTCATCTGGAAAAACATCCAAAAATTCTTTCACAACTAGTACAGACTCAAGGTTAGGTGCCTCGGCATCGGTATCCGTAACACGGACTAAATGATAGATACACCCCTTCTTGATCATCTTCGCGGCCTTAAGGTAAGAAATAAACTGACCTTTAGGCACTACATTATCCACCTTCCATTCAACAACGGGCTCATTAAGAAATTCAAGCCTTATAGTTCTAGTTTGACAATCAAGTTTGGCAAATCATGAATAAAGCCAATTCATTCCCATTATTACATCAAAATCGACCATCCCTAATTCAGTAAGATCGACCGTGCTATCCCTACCCCGTACCATAACAACACAACCTTTATAAACTCGAGCAACCGTAATAGACTCACCAACCGGAGCAGACACCAAAAATGGCTCATGAAGCTGATCAGGTTCTATCCCAAATTCCATAGCAACAAAAGGGGTACCATAGGACAAGGTGGAACCGGGGTCAATAAGTGCATACACATCATGAGATTGGACAGTCAGAATACCTGTAACAACATATAGAGAAGCCTCTACAGTCTGGAGACCACTCATAGCATAGAACCGGTTAGGTCCTCCTAAACTCTGCACACCACCCCCTGCGAGTGTTGGGGTACCTCGAGCTGGAGAGGGGGCTGAAGATGTAGTAGCTACTGGGTTGGATGGCTGAGTTGTGCCCCTACCCGCTCCCTGGAGCGATACACGACAATGCCTCTGAATATGACCCCTCATCCCACATCCATAGCATATAGGTAACTCCGAGTAGCAAATCCCTAAGTGCATTTTCCCGCACCTGGGGTACAGGGACCTTTGCTGGGACCTCTCTCCTGACCGACCCCGCTAGTGGGATCCCTTGTTGCCCTGATCGGGCCTGAAATGACTCCATTGTTGCTGTTGGCTGGGCCCTAATGGCGATGCACTGGCTGAAGATTGTGCAACAGACTGGGACGGCCCTGATGATCCTCCCTTGAAAGCTGATCTTCCCCCACTGAGTGACTCTCCCATGATGCCCGTAGATCGGGCCTTGCTGTTACCCTCTCTCTATTTTGTTATTCAATTTATGGTTCTCTGTAGCCTGAGCAAATGCTACCATCTTTCCATAATTCATGTCAGAATTCAAGGCATTTGTAGAAGCCTCATTAATAGTCAAAGGATTAAGGCCCTGAACAAATCAGCGCACCCTGGCCTCCATTGTGGGCAATATATGAATGGCATATTTAGATAGGTGAGCAAACTCCATGTGGTATTCCCACACACTTTTGCTACCTTGCTTCAAATTCTCAAACTCTACTACACGGGTTGCCCTTGTCTCGATAGGTAGGAAATGATCTATAAAGGTATCAACAAACTCGCTCCACCTCGCCGGAGGGATCCCCTCCTTACGGGAATCTTCCCACAACTCAAACCACGAATAGTCCACCCCTTTCAGACGATAGGCAACCAACTTTACTCCTTCAGTCTTAGTTGCATGCATAACCTGAGGGTATTGTGCATCTCGTCAATAAAATATAGAGGGTCTTCTTCTGGATTGGCACCCGTAAACACTGGAGGGTCTGACTGAAGAAATCTATTCACCTTAGAACTGGTGGAATCCCCTTGCTGGCTAGATGAATTGGGCGCAACATTTGACCTCTAGGCCTGAGAGGCCACTAGCTGGGTCAACATCTGAATATCTCTCCTAAGATCCCTATCAGAAATAAAAGAATCGAAAGCTGGGGCTGGAGGCGGAACAGGAGTATCAATGGGAGGGATAGTGGTACCCTCCACAGGTGTAAGAACTGGGGTAGTCTACTCTGGAATAGAAGAACCAGACAAGGTGATATCAGGGCGACTACCCTCACCCGCGGTATCAAGCAGTGATTCATTAGCCATTCTTGAGGTGGCATTGGCTCCTTGGCCAATTCTCGCTTTCTTCTTAGGTGCAATTTACTGAAAGATAGAATAATGCACTAATTAGAGGGGGAATAGTTTCATAACAAGTTTAACTGCATGATCCAGAATATCAAAGAAGGGTGTTATTCCTAAATGCCCAAGTATCCTCCAACTTATAGATGTGGTCGACTACACACCTATAAGAAGGACTCTACTAGATACGGCTCCGAGACATCCTAGGACACTTTAAAACCTTAGGCTCTGATACCAAGTTTGTCATGCCCCAACCTCGGGAGGCGCGATCGGTGCTCAATCGAGTGAACCTGACTGAGCAAGCCTTATTAAACACTTTCTACCCAACTCAATATGGTTAAGGAAACTGGGCTTTCACTTATTTAGACAATAGGAAAGGTTGTACGTTCAACATTGTTAGTTCATCTTATGTCACAATCTTAAACCGTAGTTAAGTTCCAAGATTTCCATACAGTTACAATTTAGAGAAACAAGAGTTTAAGATTACAACCTAGTTCATAGACCCATTCAACACCCGTACATAACCCACACTAACGTCTACGGAGCCTCTAAGGATACAAAAGACAAGAATGATAACGCCGGCAACAAGGCCCCGGCTATACCTCAAAAGTGGAAATCTACAACAAAAAATGTTCAACATAACCCCTTGAAGAAAAAAGGGCTCAGCAAGACTATGAGAGGAGGATACTCCGCTACGCGCGATCAGCACTGTCCGCTATGGAGCCACCTACATTCTGTTAAAAATGTAGCGCACCCGACAAAAGGGACGTTAGTACCATGGAATAGTACTAGTATGTATAACTAAACACCATCCTATTAGAAAGAACTATCATACAAGAATTTAAGGAAATCAAAAGAGATGATGACAACTTTAACAGAACACCACATTATCAAATAAAGAATCATACAACTTTCACATGATTTCCATAACTTTAGTTTGGGGCATTTGTTTCATATATTCATCATTGTTCTCAATACCACCGCTATCTTGAGCAGAGTCCGATCAACTAGGTTGCCTCATTTGAGACATATACCTCAATCACCATTTCATTTCCCTTTTCCGGAATTCAATATCATCACATTACCACCATTTGTGCGGCATGGTGTCCGATCACGGCCCGATCGTCTAGACCGCCTTACCTAGGCATTGTTCCTTTCTCATTAAACATCTCATTTGAATCTTTATTTCACATATATCATATCAATTCATTGGCACTTAGGGACACAATTATCACATCATTTCCACTTTCAATGTCAACCTTGCAATTTATGATCATAGGCACATACATAAGCAATTCAATTTGCAACCATAGGTAACATTTCACATACTTAGCATGATAATCTTAGTTTTAAGTCTTGACGTAAAGTCTAGGCAATTTCAAAACATGGTTCATATTCTTTGCACATCTTCAAATATCTAGGATAGTACTTTGCACACATTGAGGCACACCTTTCATGTTTACACATGCAATTTCAAAACCAATTCATGTAAAATATCAATCAATACATTAATCAAGTTTTTCAGTCTTACCACATTTGCACATACGCATACCAATGCAGCTCGATTTCTAATAGGAGGAGGTTTTAGCCATACATACCTCAATAAAGCTTTCTTTAAATTCTTACAAAATTCTGAGACTCTTAGCAACTTCATTATATTTCATGAAATTTACAAATCGAATTCAGAATTAGAGACATGATTAAGATTCTAGCTCATTTAATTAAATTACCAAGCACTTAATGTGCACTGTTATTTTAGGACCCTTTTGTGAGAGATTTCTATCATTTTACACCCCAATTTCTATCATTTTTAGTTCACAGCCTCTCAACACACTATTATCTTTTATGCATGCTAGAAATCCATTCTTATACCCATGAACCCCCAAGCTAATTACTCCTTCTAGTGTGAATTTCAAAACCAAAAGTTAGGGCTCAAGTTCTTACCTCTTGGGGTGAAGGTCTAGCAGCTTTACTTGATAACCTTCAAGGGCTTAGGTAAGGACTGAGTGGGGAATTGTTGAAGATCACCCTCTCTCTCTAGAACTTCCTCTCTCACTCTATTTGCAGTAAAAATAACATAAAAGAGGTGTAATGGGTGTTTTAATGGGAGGGGGTCGGGTTCTAAAATTTAGAAAATAGGAACCCCGACGAAATCTGCGATCGCATAATGGACATGCGGCCCGCGAAATAGACCGCAAAAATGGTCCAAAAACCTAAACAAACTGTCTGGGTATGCGACAGTAATGCGGTCCGCATACCTGCTCTGTGGTCACATAATGCACCACAAAACTGCTTCTCACAAAAATTCCAAGGGGATTATGCGATGACTATGCGGCCCGCATATTGATTATGTGATCGCATAATTGGCCGCATAGTTGACCTCAAATTAACCATCACATTTTCTGAATCTACGGCGACTATACAGTCCGCATATATATTATGCGACCACATAATGGACCGCAGAAACACACTTTTCTGGAAAACATAATTTCTTAACTTTTTATTGCACAGGTCAATCAAAAGGGTCCGAACTCACTTTGCCTAAGATTTGAAAATTCCTTGCACATAAGAGGAATAGTACTACCAAATATATTATCATCAACATAAATTTGAATAATGAGATTACCTTCTGATGATCTCTTAATAAACAGAGTAGTATCTACTTTACCTCTTGTAAATCCATGATTAATAAGAAAAGAGCTTAATATTTCGTAACATGCTTTTGGAGCTTGCTTCAGTCTGTACAGTGCTTTAGTTAGCTTATACACATGATATGGAAACTCTGAGTCTACAAACCCATGGGGTTGTCTCACGTATAGTTCCTCTTCAATGAAACCATTTAAGAAGGCACTTTTAACATCCATCTGAAATAACTTGAATCCTTTAAAAGATATATATGCCAACATAATGCGAATAGATTCTAGTCGAGCTACTGGGGAAAAAGTTTCGTCATAGTCGACTCCTTCTTGTTGTGAATATCCTTGAGCAACTAGTCTGGCTTTGTTTCTTACAACCTTTCCATCCTCATTTAGCTTATTTCTGAAGACGCACTTTGTCCCTATCAGAGGAACGTTTTCAGGTTTGGGTATCAGTTCCATACTTGGTTTTTGTCAAATTGATCTAACTCATCCTGCATCGCTTGCATCCAACTTGAGTCTTTAAGAGCTTCCTCTATTTTCTTTGGCTCAATTTGAGAGATTAGAGCTATGTTTGCTTTCTTCTTGAGAGCTCCCCTGGTTTTCATTCCTTCATTCGGATCTCCTATGATGAATTTTTGGGGATATTCAGGTTCATTTTTCCATTCGTTCGGACGAGCTGTATGAGTAGTCGACTCCTTCGGTGGTTCTGGTGGATTGTTCTTGGTTTGATTTGTTAATTCTAACACGGCATCGAATCCATTAGTCGACTTTTGTGTTTTGCTTGTCTACTGATTTTCTTGAGTTTGATCTTCATCACCTGCAATAATACCTTTATCGACCGAGGGGCTATTTTCATCAAATATAATATGCACAAATTCTTCCACACACATCGTGCGTTTGATGTATACTCTAAAAGATCTACTATTTAATGAGTAACCCAGAAAAATACCTTCATCACTTGGATCAAATTTTCCAAGATTGTCCTTGCTATTATTGTGAATGAAACACTTACTTCCAAAGGGATGAAAGTAGCTAATATTAGGACGTTTACTTTTCCACAGTTCATAAGGGTTTTCTTCAGAATTGGCCTTATGAGACAATAGTTGAGAATGTAACAGGCAGTACTTACTCCTTCTGCTCAGAAATGGTTTGGTAGAGAATGATCTAGTAGCATCGTTCTTTCCATATCTTGTAGTGTTCTATTTTTCCGTTCTACAACACCATTCTATTGAGGTGATCTTGGTGCAGAGAAATTATGAGTATATCCTTGATCGTTGCAGAAGTCTTCGAATGCTCTACTTTCAATTTCTCCTCCATGATCACTTTGTATTGTTGTAATCAGATACCCTTTTTCTCTTTCAACCTGGAAGGATTGTTTTACCTGTCTCATCTTCAATAGCACATCCTATTTTCTTAAACTTTACCTCATATCCTGAATCGCATAGCTGACTTATGCTCAGAAGGTTGTAGTTAATCCCATCGACTAGATAAACCTCAGTGATATCACAGTTGTTATTGAAAGGAATCGTTCTGATACCGATTATTTTTCCTTTTGAATCATTGCCAAACTTAACGCTTCCTCCATCTATTTTTGTAACTTCTTTGAATAGGTTTTTATCACCTGTCTTTTGGCTGGAACATGCACTGTCTAAGTACCATTTTCCTTTGAGATTTCTTTGGTGGTGTTCCTGCAAATCATAGTGATCACTTTCTTTTAGGTACCCAAGCTTGCTTGGGTCCTGGTTAGTTAGTGTTACTAGGTTCAGGATCATTTTTGGGTTTCCAAATCCATCCTGAAACATTAGACTTACGAAAATGACAATAAGAATATTTATGTCCACTTTTATTGTAGTAGTGACATGTAATTTCTGACCCATTTTTGGGTCTTTTAGTAGTGTTAGTACTAGTCGACTTAATTCTGGCTGGTCCTTTTCCAGTTGACTTGTAAGTCGTCTGGTTTGACCTGATTGAACTGTGATTGATGGATTTGTGCATGCCATTGTGTTGAATTTGCAATTCCTCAAACTCTTCTTGATGTACTTCTTTTTCGATTTCACATACTTCATGTTTGAGTTTCCAGTCTTTTACTTCTTTGTTGAGTCTCTGATATTTAGCTTAAAGTATATATATTTCTATGTATATCGCCTCATATTTTACTCTTGTTTCATGAATTTGGGATGTTAAATTCTATAATTTATATTAATTTGAAGTGTTTTTACTTGTAGGAATGATTCGAGAGCAATTGGGGGCGAAACGCACAAGATTTGAGCTAAAACGAACAAAACCATGAAAAATGCCATTTGGGCACCACAAGCAGCGCCTGGCGCCACTTGTGGCGCTGAAAACAATGTTGGCAAATTGGGCAGCGCCCTGGTGGGCGCCTGGCGCTGGGTTGGGCGCCAGTAACGTGAATTTTCTCTAATTTCGCCCGAGACAAGGTTATTCCGGCCCTAGACCTACCCAACACGTATAAAAGCAAAACTAAACCTATTTTTGAAAGGGAGACGCCACTTTGGAGGAAAAATACACACAGGATCGTGATGAAGCGGAGAATTCTTAGTTTTCTTCATCTTTTTCTAGTATTTCCAATTGATTCAACACATATGCAATTGTTTGATTACATTATGAGTGGCTAAACACCATTGTTCCGGGATTGTGATTTAGCCATGAATATTGTTGTTTGATATTAGCTTGACCTTGATTATAATTCACCAATCTTTAGTTCTATGTTTAACTACTTAATTTTCTGGCCAACAGTTAGGTTCTATTCACTATCTATGCTATGCTTGGGAAAGACATTTTTAGATTAGAGAAGAATTGAAGAGAGCATGATCTTAACCCTTATGGGGAGCGGATTTGTGGTTAGGATAGGAATATACCTAGTCACCATGATTAATTAAATATCGTAATCTTAATGTGTTCTTAATAGATTGATTTCATAGGAATATAGGCGTTAATCTATTGAGAATATGTGAGCAGTACTTCGGGAGAAGGCTATGAGAGCATTTATCGATTAATTAGCAACCATGAGTGAATTATATGAAAGGGAGAGTTAATTAGAACACAATATGAATGGTGAATCGATCACAACTCTGGAGTACTTGTCTCTACTGAATACATAACAATTAACTCATTATTTGATAATTTAGTTATTATTGAGAATCGTAGTATAACATAATCATATTAGTGGACTTTGATTTTAGCTAGATTGAATAACAATTTTAGTGATTTAGTGAGTAGTTTATACAAGTATCTGTGGGTTCGACACTCAACTTATCATTATATTACTTGTCGGCCATGTATACTTGCATGTGCGTTTGGGAGCAACAAGTTTTTGGTGCCGTTGCCGGGGACTTGAATATAAACTACTTTCTAGTTTTTGCTTTAATTGTTTATTTCGTCTAGTCTAATGTTACTTGATTGTTGCTCTAATCTGAGAAACATTGATTGAATGCGTAGGGTCAGAAGCCAGGACAGACTCAATGGCTTTGACCCCGAACCTGAGAAAACATTTCACAGGAGGTTGAGGGAAGCAAGGGATACAAACAATATTCAAGCACTCATTCAATTTCCTGTGAACATGGCAGAGGAGCAACATATGGCTGTTTAGGAGGTAGAAATGCCCAGTATTGCTAATGGTACCTCCAGCATAGTGAATCCCAGAATCACTGGGCACTTTGAGTTGAAACTGAGCATGATCCAGCTACTTCATGCAAACGGGCACTTTATGGGTCTTCCACACGAGGATCCACAGTAGCATATTCTGAACTTCTTGGAGATTAGTGATACTTATATCACTAACGGGGTCACTCCATATTATGTGAGGCTCACACTTTTTCCATTCTCTCTGTTGGACGAAGCTAAGCGATGACTAAAGGCAGAACCAGCTAATTCCATTACATCATGGAACGATTTGGCAAGAAAATTTCTGGCAAGGTTCTTCCCTTCAGGCAAAACTGCAAAGATCAGAAGTGTGATAGTTGCCTTCAAACAGAAAGCAGGGGAATCTTTATACTCAGCTTGGGAAAGGTTCAAGGGGCTACTCAGAGACTGTCCTCATCAATCAGACGAATGAAGTGTTATCTCACACTTTCATAAAAGGGCTCCATCCCCAAACAAAAATTGTAGTCGATGTTGCAGTTGGAGGTCAAGTATTGGAGAAAAGCTTCGATGAAATTTATGCATTATTGAACAAATTCTCCAAAAGCAATCCGGATTGTCAAGGAGAGATGGGTAGGAACATGGTACAAAAATCACCAGGGGTTCTTGAATTAGATGTTATCTCAGCATTGTCAGCACAGGTCTCTATGCTGACCAACCAAGTCAATCAGATGACCATGATCATTAACAAGCAACAAGCCCAGCTAGTGCAACAAGTTCAAATATTTTGTGAAGTATGTGGAGAGGGTCACATGAGCAATCTATACCCAGCAAATCCAGAGTCTGTATATTTTGTGGGTAATGCAAATCGAGGCCAAACAAATCAGTATGGGGACACCTACAATCCCAACTGGAGGAATCACCCAAACTTCTCTTGGGGTGGAAATCAAGGCAATCAGAATCAATACCGGCCTTAAGCACCTCAACAACAATCCAGACCACCTCAGGCTGAACAACAAGCTAGCCTTGAGGAGATGATGAAGAAATTGATGGCTGACCAGTAAGCCCTCAATCAAAAATTAATAGCAGATCAACAAACTTTCAATTAGAAAATAATGGCTGATCAGCAGGCTCAAGCCGCAGCACTGAGAAATTTGGAGCACCACGTGTGCCAACTTGCCAGAGCCCAAAATACCAGATTAATAGGGGCTCTTCCTAGTGATACAGAGCCCAATCCTAAAGCCCAAGTCAATGCGGTTACCTTGAGAAATGGAAGAGCATTAGAAGAAACTCCAAAGAAAAAGAAGAATACAGCTCATCCTGAAGGAGAATTAGTTCCCAAGCCAGTTGAGGGGAATGAGAAAGATGACAAAGGACCCGAGCCAGTAATTGAGACGAGGCCACCACCTCCGTTTCCACAAACACTATAGAAGCAAAACGATGATGCTAAGTACAAGAAATTCCTAGATATTTTGAGCCAAGTGAGTGTGAATTTGCCTTTGGTGGAAATTTTGCAGGAAGTGCCTAAGTATGCAAGGTATCTCAGAGATATTGTGGCAAACAAACGAAGACATGCAGAGTTCGAAACAGTTGCACTTACTGAAGAGTGCAGTGCCAGAGTTTAGAGTAAACTTCCTCCTAAGTTGAAGGATCCTGGGAGTTTCACAATTCCTTTGTCTCTTGGAAAATAAGAAGTTGGTAGAGACCTGTGTAATTTAGGGGCTAGTATAAATTTGATGCCATCCTCTTTGTTTAAGCAACTCGGATTGGGGGTGCTTAGACCTACTACAATCACTTTACAGTTAGCAGATAGGTCACTAGTCATGCCAAAAGGAATTATTGAGGATGTGTTAGTTCGAGTGGGAAAGTTTATTCTTCCTGCTGATTTTATTGTTCTTGATTACGAGGCAGATGAGGAAGTGTCCATTATTTTGGGGCGACCATTCTTAGCTACCTATGGAGCAATTATTGATGTGAGGGCAGGGAAGTTAAAAATGAGAGTTGATGATGAGGAGGTCACTTTTAATGTGTACAAAGCACTTAAGCTCCCTAAACATTATGAGGACTTGTGCATGATTACTGTGGTCGAATTGAAGGGAATAGAGCAGAGTCTGCATGTGAATTATAGTGATCCAGATGGGACAACTGAGTTAGAGGAGGTGGTGTTTCCAGCTGGGCGGGTAAAGATGATTGAGAAAAGAGCCAGAGATGAAAGGGGAGACCTTCCGAGAGCGTGCAAAAAGGCTAGACTTCATGGGAGAAAGAAGAAGAGAAAGCGCCCAACCTGAGTAGAGTAGCAGAGTTGTGTCGCGACTATAAATAAGGCGCTTGTTGGGAGGCAACCCAACCTATATATCGTTTATTTATTGATTATTTTTTTAGTGCCAAGTTTTGTGTTGTTTTTATTTTGCAGAGTAGGGGATGTCTGAGTACCCAAAGTTGAAGCTGAGGAGCATGTTTGAGCCTAAGTGTGGGTTCGTCCCGACCCTTAATATTGAGGATCATATCCGAGCTAGGACTGAGAGGGCTTCAGGGAGTATTTCTCACCCTTGTTTTAATATTTTTCTCTATGATCATGCATCGAGGACTATTTAAATGAATAAATAAAAATGAAAATTGAAAAAAATTAGAAAAAGTTCAGATTTTTCCCGACGATGGATCTTTTGGACAATTTTCTTGAGGGAAAAAGTCCGATTAAAAACACCAAAAAGATTTTTCATTTTTTAGGATAGTTAGGCAGTATCCCTTGGTTTTTCTTTGGGCGCCGGTTCTTTTCCAAAGGTGTAGCTCGAACCGGGTACTTTATATTTTTTTTAGGAGTAGTTTAGGAAGAATATAAGTCTCTCTAAGATACTCATTGACATGGTTGATGCTGGCACATAAGGCTATGACATGCATTCTATTTTCCCGTGTATTTGGTTTAAATTGTGAAGCCTAAGTAAAGTAAATAGCCTATTTTGTGATGCCCTTTTTCAGTTGTTTGACTCGTATGCCACATAGTGCAATATTGCTTAAATTTCTCAATTATGTGTGCTTGCTTGACTTGAGAGTTGAACAGAACTGTCTTGATTGAGTCATGTGCAACGTGTGTGTGAGAAATTGTGATTTTCCGTGCTATCATGTGTAGTCTAGAACTTGCCCCGTATGTTAATTGAAGTGAAATTGTAATTTGTGCTAATCTAGAAGATGACGTAGGAATTTTCTTGCTTGATCATGGATGTGCTTGTCATATAAAAATAAAAGTTTCCATTGCTAGCCCTTTTGAGCCTATAGACCTTTCTTTTGGCTTACAAGCCATACCCCCATTTTGTTCTTAATTTGATATTGATTGAACCTTCTCCTCCTAAGGCACTTAGTCACTAAAAGAAGTTAGGTTAGAGATTGGGGAGTATCTTGTGAGTGGGACCATGGAAGGGCCCATTGGTGCACTAAAGTTGAAATTAAAGGTCACTAGCCGAGGAACTTT